TGGGATTTGGGGTGTTTAGTCTGTATTGAGGTGCTGGGATCCCACTACACCGGGATTTGGGATCTTGTTACTCTGGGATTTGGGGTGCTGGGATCTTGTTTCTCCGGGATTTGGGGTGCTGGGATCCCGTTACTCTGGGATTTGGGGTGCTGGGATCCCATTTCTCCGGGATTTGGGGTGCTGGGATCCTGTTACTCCGGGATTTGGAGTGCTGGGATCCCGTTACTCTGGGATTAGGGGTGCTGGGATCCCGTTATTCCAGGATTTGGGGTGCTGGGATCTTGTTTCTCCGGGATTTGGGGTGCTGGGATCCCGTTTCTCTGCGATTTGGGGTGCTGGGATCCTGTTACACTGAGATTTGGGGGGGTGGTGGGATTGGGGTGTGGGGATCCCGTTACACCGGGAATTGGGGTGCCCCAGGATTTGGGGTGCTGCGATCCCATTACTCCAGGATTTGGGGTGTGCTGGGATTTTGTCACTCCAGGATTTGGGGTGCTGGGATCCTGTTACACTGAGATTTGGGGTGTGCCAGGATTTGGGGTGCTGGGATCCCGTTACACCAAGATTTGGGGTGTGCTGGGATTTGGGGTATGCCGGGATTTGGGGTACTCCAGGATTGGGGTGTGGGGTCCCATTGTACCAGGATTGGGGTGAGGGAACCCCGTTACAGCAGGAATTGGGGGGCTGAGGGATTTGAGGTGTCACACCTGTGTGTGCCTGTCTCATACCTGTATGCCTGGCACACCTGTGTGCGGCTGTGTCACACCTGTATTACACCTGGCACACCTGTGTGGGTGTGTCACACCTGAGCATCAGTGCCTGGCACACCTGTAGGTGTGTCACACCTGTGGCTGTGTCGAACCTGTGGGTGCCTGTGTCACACCTGTAGGTGTGTCACACCTGGGTGTGCCTGTGTCACACCTGTGGGTGCCTGTGTCACACCTGTGGCTGTGTCACACCTGTGTGTGCCTGTGTCACACTTGTATGTGGCTGTGTCACACCTGTAGGTGTGTCACACCTGTCACACTCCTGTGTCACACGTGCCAGACCTGCGTGTCACACACCTGTGGGGCTCACGCCTGTCACACACCTGTGCACAGCTCACACTGCTCAGTGTCACATGCATGTGCACACCTGTGTCACGCCTGTCACAGCGTTGTGGGGCGGTGACAGTCTCACCTGTCCCTGTCCCCAGCCTGGGGGGGTTGTTTTGGTGTGGGTGTGACAGTCCCATGTGACAATCCCGTGTGACACACCTGTCCTTGACACACCTGTTCCTGTCCCCAGCCCAGTGTACGGGGGGGTTGTTTTGGGGGGTGTGTGACAATGACACACCTGTCCCTGACACGCCTGTCCCTGTCCCCAGCCCGGTGTACGGGGCGGGTGTGACAATCCCGTGTGACACACGTGTCCCTGTCACACCTGTCCCTGTCACACCTGTCCCTGACACACCTGTCCCTGTCCCCAGCCTGGGGGGGTTGTTTTGGTGTGGGTGTGACAGTCCCGTGTGACACACGTGTCCCTGACACACCTGTCCCTGACACGCCTGTCCCTGTCCCCAGCCCGGTGTATGGGGTGGGTGTGACAATCCCATGTGACACACGTGTCCCTGACACACGTGTCCCTGACACACCTGTCCCTGACACACCTGTCCCTGTCCCCAGCCTGGGGGGGTTGTTTTGGTGTGGGTGTGACAGTCCCGTGTGACACACCTGTCCCTGACACGCCTGTCCCTGTCCCCAGCCTGGGGGGGTTGTTTTGGTGTGACAATCCCGTGTGACACACCTGTCCCTGACACGCCTGTCCCTGTCCCCAGCCTGG